ACTCCCCCTCCAGGGCCCCTCCATGCCCAGCTGGTGGTGTCCTGTGGCAGAAGAGGTGAGAGAAGGGCTACTTTTCTTCCCTGGAACCGGGCATTCGTCTTCTGGCTGAGGCCCTGCCCCTGCCCCTGCCCCCGCCCCAGTCCCCTCCCAGATGCACACCCCATCATGGCACCCCCCCGCTTTCTTGGATGAAGACTCACCAGACTGTTGGGGTAGCGGATGAGGACAGGCTGCACAGGCACCCCTGCGATGAAGGCTCCTAAACCCCATTCCATAACCACCCCCCCAAACCAGGCAGAGGTTAGCACACTGAGGTAGCTAAAAGGCATAACGTGTGAGGTGTGGGGCAGTTATCAAATGAGACCTGGTCTTCCTCCTCCATTCGTTTATAATTTTCTCTGTGATTCTCGAACAAGTCAGCCTTAACTGGGAGGTTCCCTGTCTCCATTCCTCCTCCAAGGCTCCCCACCCTGCCACTTCTTGGGTGAGTCCAGAATCCCTCCCCAAATCTGGGGCTCCTCTCCCTCACTATCAGCCCACCCCTCACTACTGTTTCATTTACCTGGTTTGAACTTAAGCAATGCCTTCTTGTTGGAGCAGGTGCCCTCAGGAAAGAATAGCACCTGGGGGAAAAGACCCAAGGAGCAGAATGAGGGAGGGAGGAGAGGGGAAAGGAAAGCTCCATTCAGGAGCACGCAGAAGATGAGGAGAGGGTTGCAGAAGATGAGGAGAGGGTCGAATACTCTTACCCACCTGGGGCCACTTGCCTCTGGAAGTGGCCCGCCTTCGGACCTCCTCCACCACTCTGCGGCGAGAAGCCGGGTCATGCCGGGACACTAGGATGGCTTGGTTAAATCGCAGAAGGGCTGGTATTGAAAAAGGTACAAGAAAGAGCCACTTGGTTCCTACCTGGAGGCATTAACACCTGTAGCCTTCACTTCCTCCACAGTATAAGACAGTTCTCAATGTCTCTGCCCTGGGGATAAACTCTTTTCTGTACCTGTCCTTTTGGAGACTGACCTGAGCTTCCTCCAACACCTTCCTATGTGCCAGCTCTCAGGGATGACATGACAAATAGGGTTAATTTACAGTTTCTTTGCCTTCTGGGCTTCTCCCTCCCCACTTGAGGCTACTTCCCTCCAGTGTCTCAACTCCTGACTTTTGCTCCCAAGAGAGTTGTCATTCCCAGTCCTGATCCCCCTCGAACTCTCTCACCTCCAATAACAGGCACAGAAAGGTTCTCGGCTCGGGACACAACCTTGGGCAGGTCACAGGGCAGCAGGACAATTGGGTCAAAGAAGGTGGAGTGGGGGGCCGCAACAAGGACAGGAGCTTGAAGGCGAGAGGCCCGCTGCCCTCGAACACGAATCCGGAGGAAGCCCAGCAGGAAAAAGAGGAGGCGGCTCAGGCCCAGCACCCCGTTGTGGCACACAGTCCTGCACCGGAGAGGGGCTGGGTGTTAGTGGAGGCAGCAACTCTGTCACCCGCCCTCAGGTTCAGGCACCCAGGAGAGAAGGACATCCCTCTATTGTCCTCAAATACTAGGGCCACAGGGCTGAAGGCACTAGCTACTGTGAGACATCAGGGAACATGGCTGAGAGGTGAGATCTGAGTCGTCTCACCTGCTTAAGACAGCTTCCAAACACCCTCTCCTCTTCTTCTCAAAGGGCGTGGGGGACAGGAGGGATAGCAGGGAAGATAAGCAGAGGTTCTGGGGTGAACCCCCCACTTACTTCCTCCATCCTGTAAGTGGTTCCTGAAGCTGCTCCTCAGTAAGACCAGCTACTTGCAGCCAGGCAAAGGGCCAGAGGAGAAAGAGCACGATAAAGGCCAGAAGCACTCGGATGGGGGCCAGCAGTGCCCCCAGGAGGCAGAACTGCAGAGTGGGAGAGAATGCCACTCAGGGCTGGGAGAGTCTTTCTCTCCCAGCACATCCCCTCTCTCACAAGGATGGACCCAGGAGCAGGGAGCCCTCCTTCCAGGTGATAAGTGGCATGAGCACATGAGCAGGAACTGGGATCCGGGGTGGAAATCAAACTCCAGTGAGGGCAAGAGGATAACAGATGAAGAGCATCAGAGGCTTAATTTTCCTCTCTTTCACGTGGTCCCCACCCCACCTATAAAATCAAATGGCATAAAACGCATCTAGCACTTGGGAAGGCTGTGAAGAGGATTTAGGGAGATAACGCATGAAAAGTGCCCAGCACTGTGCTCCATGAAAGCAGGTGAGAGAGAGGTTTTCCTCCCCCACATCCCATTCTATAAAATAGCTCCTCCGTCCAACAGAAACCAGGTGCATAGTGCTTTCACTTTGGGCCGGAAGGCAGAGGCCTGGAACCCCAGAGGTCCACTTTTCAGGCCTCGGGGTTAATCTCTAATATTGTACTGCCCACCAGCAATTCCACTACGCTGGGAGGGCGGGGGAGGGAAGAGCTCGGTCCGACCCCACGTGGTAGGGGTTACCAGGAGCCAGCATAACTCCTTGGGCTGCCCTAGGGAGAGAGCAGGTAAACAAACCTAGCCCCTGGAGCCTGCCTCAGGGGAGGTGATGACAGCAGAAACCTTGGACACTCCCTCCCCACACCACCTCCCAGTTCCCCTAGGCTGGTGCGGCCCTCCACTTCCTGTAGCCAACCCCCCTTCTCAGCCTCCCTGCCCCCACCGGGAGGTGCTGCAGTGCGGGGGTGGGGGTGGAAGGAGAAGGGGTGTTGTTGGAAGGGCACAGGGACGCAGGCTCGGGGCCTAAGTCACAGCCCGGGAGGAACCGCTGCCCCCACCCCGGCCTCCCGTGGCCTCCAACTCCATCGCAGCTCGTCAGGCTCCGCAGGATGTAATCTGCATTCCCCAGTGTCCTCCATCTCTTCCACCCTGCTCCCCTGCAGTCCTCCACTCTCACCTGCTCAATTCACCTTCCAGCTTGTCTATCGTCCAAGCCCACGTTCTCTCCAGTACTCCTCGCCCACCCCCGAACGCCCCCACGTGCGCATCTCGGGTCTCAAGCTCCGCAACCCTCTCCAGTTACCTTCCAGATCCCCATGTCCTACCTGCCAGGGCTCCATGCGGCCCCATTTTCCTATCCCCACGAGTCCTCCCAGGGACCCCTGCCCACACCTTACCTTAACCCTCTGGAGGCGGGAGAGATGTAACTCATGCAGGAAGGGGTTGGGGGGCGCTGGGGGCCCGG